GTTTAATATACAATGTAGTTTTAGAAGAAGTGCTTTAGCCATTCCTTGCTTCCAAACAAAATGTCACCCCAAGATTTTCCTATTTAGGAATTCTGGGGCCCCTACTCACCCACTGTCACAAACAAGTGGTTTCTGATAGAGTACCAAAGCACATAAATGACTTACCTTTACAAACTAAATGATAGCTCAAGGTTGTCCTCGTCATAAGGTTACTTGGGCTGGGATGTTTTCCCAGCGTGGGAAAGATGCGTTACTGTCTGTATACAGCAGGACTTGAGGGCAGTCCGGGGAACGAGCTATCCGTTATTAGGGGTTGTTGTGGGCACGGGACAGTCAGAGGGAGGCGGAGTGGGGGGACCGCCCATCCGTGGCGCTGCAGGGGACACATTACACAGCAGCCACGAAGGGGATTTCTAGGGCCCAGAGAATTCCTTCCCCTCCAACAGAGGAAATCGCCAAGTAGGAGGTGGGTTTAGCTTTCAGGACTTAGGAACCTCCTTTGGGGTGTCTGCTTTTTTGGGGGGAAGATATTAGAGCATACCCAGACCAACCCTGAGGCCAGGCTCTCGTCTCCGACTGTAGCCAACGGTACAATGGGCTTGGTCTGAGGAATTTTCTAAATGAAATGTTTCATTATTTTAAAATTGGGAGAATTCCATTAAATTGGAGACTTCTGACTTCTTTCAAAGAACCAAAGTATTGGCAACACTAGATTCTCATTGGTGCATGAAAACAACAGGCACGAGCAGGTAGTGGCCACACCAGGCAGCCCAGGCACACGTCTCTTACACACACACACACACACGCACACACACACACACACACACACGCACACACGCCTATGGCCCTTCCCGCCTGGGTGCCCTGCAGGCTGAGCGGCCACGCTCCCCTGCTCCCTCTGCCACTCAGAGGGAGTGTAGACGCACGTTTCTGGCTCACAGTCAGCCGGAGAGCCACCGTGTGCTCCTGCCTGGGCCCCCACACAAACACAAAAGCCCCCTCCCTGTTTCCTAAAGCCAAAGAATGTCAGGATTAACCCCTAATTGAAACGTTTGAAAGAAGAGCTAAAGGCAGCTGTAGCCCTAGCATTCCACAGCGCCTCGTTAACCCGTTAACCCGTTAACACGGGGACTTTTTGTAAGTCTGGGACAACCGGAGACACATGACCCAATTCAAAGGCTCCTGTGAGGCAAGGCCGCTGTTCGGGATTCTTGACATGGTCTTGGGGCTCAGGCCGCTCTGCTCCAGACACAGCGCTGTGGTGACAGGCCAGGCCTCTGGAGCCGGGCGGTCGGGCTGGGGCGGGGGGGGGGGGGGGGGGGGGGGCAGGGAGGGGGGTTCCAGTCGAGGCCAAGCTCCACTCGCCTCTGGGGAGCCCAGTTCACAGGCTCCAAAGCAGGGAGAAGCAGGCGTGTCCCAGGGCCAGCATATGGCAGGCCTGAGCGGACGCTGGGCCACAGTGGCTGCTCCTGGAGTCACACACCGACTCTCTCCTGGGGTCCACCTGGGGTCCACCATGAGGGCTGCCGTCGCCTCTGGGCGGAACCGTGGGAATTGTGTGGCACGTGCTAAAAGGGGCCTCGGAGTCAGAAAACATGGGAGCCCTGCGAGCATCTTACAACATCTTTTTCAGGACTGCCAGCTGTGACTGCGCTTCAGAATCACCTCGAACACGTTCTAAATACAGGTTCCCAGGCTCCAGCTCTCACCCATCCCACCCCCACCCCCGCTGTCCCCAACACAGTCTGGCTTGGGAAACACTGATGTCCAAAGCCTTCCCCTCTGCTTCTGAAGCATAATCTAATCCCAGGTTACACAACTCACCCGGGCCCCTCCGCTGGCCTGACAGGACTGGGTGCCTCGACTAGAATCCAGGGCTTTTTCTACAGCAACCGCCTCCTGGGTGTGCCCACAGAGGGGCTGCCAGACCACCCCAGAGATTCTGGATGGGAAAGATGGCGAGAGGCTTCGTCTTTGTGCGTGGAAAGTAGCCCCGATAATTTCCCCACTCTTGGCCTCCGCTGTGGGTTATGACCCACATGTCTCAGCCTCCAGTCCTCTGGGCAGGAGACTCTGCCTCCAGCTCTATCATGACCACCGCTCCACTTGTCCTGTGAGGGTGGGGGAAGAGCTGCGCATGCGTCGTAGACTTCTGTGTGCCTCCGTTTACCTCCTTATAAAGTGCAGAGGGTGACCGGCACCCTTATGTCTCCTTATGTCTGTGTCTTCAGCACTTTGCAGGCCGAGTGAATGGACACACAAAAGCATCTCGTGATCCCCCCGCCCCGCCCCGACAGGCAGAGAAAGACGCTTTCTGTACCCACACAAAGCTATTCTGAAAGTCCAGGCTGCTCTTGCCACATTTTTAATAATTCAGATGTCAAAATACCACTGTGGCTTTTCTGGCTACCCCGCATGCCCGCCAGGAAGGGCTGCCTGCCTTCTCTTGGTTTCTGGAGGGCTGGTGAAATATTTCCGGTGGGTGAGCATGGGAGGAGCCCCAATTTTGAAGCACTGAACAAGATAAAAAATTAAGTACTACTATTAATAATAAATAGCTAGCACTGAGTTGTTATCAAGTGCCGGGCATTCTGCCAAACATTTTATAGGCATTATCCTATTTAATCCTCCTGTGAATGAAGTGTTGCAAGTATTCCCATTTTACAGATGAGGAAAATGAGGCTCAGAAAATTTGAAGAACTTGCCCAAGTTCACATAGCTGTTAATGAAAGAGGTATGATTCAAACCCACACACGTCAGTGTCTAGGAGCAAAGATCCGTAAAGGGGGTTGGTGACAGGCCACTGTGGTCATGGGCTTGACATTTCCCGTGGCACTGCCTGCTACTGCCTAGGGGGTGTTACACCTGATGCAGCTGAGGCCAAGGACAGCGGGGGCACGGCAGCTGTGCCGTCTGCGGGGAGGAGAACAGCTCTGTCAGTTCAGGGACTGCCTGACCCAGCCTAACCAAATTAGAGCAAGTGATGGGTGCGGCATAATTGACATGTACATTGTTAATTGAACCCCATGGGAGATGATTTTAAATAGAGACAAGTACCATGCTGTGTGAACTATTTGGGTTATGAAGCCCTGATTCTCTGACTCTTGCAGGGAGAGAGAACTGTGTCACGGTACCCTGAAAACTCCAAGAAGCTGTTCCCCGATCAGGGCAGCAGCAGGCGAGCCGGGTTGGGGAAGATTCTCCCTGGGAGTTTCAGGAATTTCAATCTCGCTACCTATCATTTTACCCATAAAGCCCAAATGAAGAACCACTAACTACCCATCCATGCCCAGGGACTTCCTAACCAGGGGGACTCAGAACCCCAATAAAAAAGCCAGCCCTGCCAAAACCGGTTTGGCTCAGTGGATAGAGCGTCGGCCTGCGGAATGAAAGGTCCCAGGTTTGATTCCGGTCAAGGGCATGTACCTGGGTTTCGGGCACATCCCCAGTAGGAGATGTGCAGGAGGCAGCTGATCGATGTTTCTCTCTCATCGATGTTTCTAACTCTCTATCTCTCTCCCTTCCTCTCTGTAAAAAATCAATAAAATATATTTAAAAAAAAAAAAAAAAAAAAGCCAGCCCTGGCCCAGCTGGTGTGGCTCAGTGGTTGAGCGTCGACCAATGAACCAGGAAGTCACAATTCAATTCCTGGCCAGGGCACATGCCCGGGTTGGGGGCTCAATCCCTAGTGGGGGGCACATAGGAGGCAGCCAAACAATGATTCTCATCACTGATGTTTCTATCTTTCTCTCTGTCCCTTTCTCTCTGAAATCAATAAAATATATGTATATTTTAAAAAAGCCAGCCGTGGTAAGACAGCAAAACAGGCACAGCTTGAAGCTCCCATATGTATCTGCAACCACCACCACCACCACCACCACCACCACCACCCCCCCCCCCCCCCCGCCCCATTCCTGCTTCCCCTTTCTCAGGTTCACAAAACCAGCAACCTTCCCAGGGGCCTTGGTGAGGGACCCACACGTACACTGTCTCTGGACATCACCAATACCCAACTCCTACTCCTGTTCCCTTATCACTAGCAGGACTGACCTGTCCTACTTCCCACTCCCTCATACTTGCTTCCTGACCTTCATAAAGAGTATGTGTGCCCTGTGTGCCAGCCTCTGATCCTAAGGGCTCACATGTGCTCCTCCTCTCAGGCAAGACCTGCTATCTGGATGGCGCGTAACCACTACCCAAGGAAAGTTTACTGTTGAATTAATGAATGAAAGTAAGAATAGCAAAGATTCTCTGGAAATCCCGTGCGTCCCCTCAAACCGATATTGGCTCACTGGCTAGTAAAAATGAACTGGGGAGCAAAAGACCTTCGCCTTTTTAAAAGCAGACGCTGCTTAAATAACACTACCTGGTGACAAAGGCCAGGAGAGATCAGGATGTGAGGATCCCACTCCCCACCCACCACCCCAGTCCCCCTCCCCCATGCATTCCCTTTCCTCCCCTTCCTAGCAGGGTTCCATGCTCCCAGCCCTGCAGTTGGGAAGGGTTAACCTACTGTGGTTCTCTGGGGGGACCTTGGGAGGCTAATGCCATCCAGTGGGATCCATTGTCCTCGCTGCCCTGGCCACAGGGGTTGGTTTGGAGATAGCCACCTGGCCTAGATGCAAGGAGACTTTGCCAAGGGCTTTGGGGTCTTGAAATCATCAGGTGCGTCAGTCTAAGAATAAAGCCAGTGCTGTGGGAGGCTAAGGAGATGGGAAGTCACTGGGAATTCATTGACTTGTCCAGCTCCTATATAAGACCCTACCTGAAGCCCACCTGACTTCCGGACCTTCCAATGAATAAACAAATAAAACCTCCTTTTTGTTTAAACCCAATAATACAGAACACAATATTACAACCTCTTGCTTCCTTTTTATAATTGATCCCAGAGACTATATTTTGTCATTTTATTTTATTTTTATTTTTATATTTTGTCATTTTAAATTACCTTTATCTTCTGGCTTACTTAACTTAAATAAACATACCAAAAAACAAAAACCCCAATTTTTCACTCTTTTTTCCTTTTTATTAAACTTGTTGGAGTGACCCTGGTTAACAAAATTCTACAGGTTTCAGGTGCACAATTCTACAACACGGCACAATTTCTCACTCTTCAATCAAAGCCTTCCCAAGATCCCCAGGCGTGTGCTGTCTCAGCTGAATGAGGAAATAACAGAGACTTCAACAAGACAGAAACCTATTTCTCTGTCCTGTAAAGGAAGTTGGAATCTGGCTGGTATGGGAGTTATGGTGTCATCCAGGCTCCGGTTTCCTCTATCTTTTTGTTCCCCCATCCTTACATAGCTCCCATCTTCCAAGTCACTTCACAGTCCAGTGTGGCAGCTGGGGCTCCAGCCATCGCGTTGATGATCTTCCTGTTCCAGAAGGTACCGAGGAAGGAGGAAGGAGAAGCGATGAGTGTCAGTGTCTACCTCTCTGGAGGGGTCTTCACCGAAGAGCCACCCAACAGCTTCCGCTTCTATCTCAATGGCCATTCCAGCTACAAAGGTGGCGAACAAATGTAGTCTTTTCGCTGAGCACATTGGCACCAAGATTAAGATCTGGGCTGTGTTACTAAGGTAGAAGGGGAGAGTAGATACGGGTAGGCAACTAGCAGTTTCTGTCCCCACCCTACTTACCAAACAAGTTCACTGGCTGCTGTGTTCAGTTCTCTGCGTGGTGCCTGTTCCTCCAAGGAGAGCCCCTTTCAAGCTGCAGTCACTGCAGGTACTCTCTCCACAGACCCTTACCATCCCAAACCGGGTCCCCACCGTACCCCGACCCAGGAGCCTCTGACCAGCATCTTCCGATTTATTCAGTAGACCACATTAGTCTTTCATTAGAATCATGGCTTCACTTTAACTTGTGGCGCACTTGAACTTCCTCTCTGTCATGCTCCAGTCAGACCCCATTCATACTTACCCTTCTCCATTCACTAGTCTTTCCCTGGAACTGTGTTCTTTCCAACACAGGTCTGCTCGTCAAGACTTCTTTCTGGATTACCCGTGTGGTTGAGGGCAACAAGGACTGTGGTCAGCATCAGCGTCTGAGTCAGGGCTGGACTTCTCCAAATCTTCAGGAATAGCAGGGTACAGATAACTGAGTAAGGTCGGCACGATGATTTTTTTATTTTCTTCTTTTCAGATTTCCCAAGGCCTTCTGACACAATGTACATTTCAGCCCTCATAGAGCCCCCGCAGTGCTCAGTTATCAATGAAGAGCCCACACAAGGCAAAATAAAACAATAATAATGAAGTGCATTATTGTCTCAATAGAGACTAAACATCTGCTCCTCCCTACCTCAGCTGCACAAAAGCAGAAAAAGAAAAAAGAAAAAAAAATCAATGTCTCATAATACTAAGAAAACATGTTACCTTGAGTTACCTTGAGTCCTCATATAAAGAATGCCATTTAGAAGTATCTAGTTCTTTCACTTGAATTTTCCATTGATTTTAATAATGAACTGAAAGCTATTGTAACTCAAAATTTTACATTCTATTATGTCTTTTCAAACAGAAATATCATTAGGCAGATGTGAACAATTATCCCCAGTTGGATTTTATTTTTAAGTTCTAGACTTCAGAGGAACAGCTACATTATGCTTTAAATCAGAGCTTGGGTGGGTGGGTGGGAAGAGATTAACCAGAGAATTTATACGCACATATGCATAACCTAAGGACACAGACAATAGTGTGGTGAAGGCCTGGGGCGGGGGATGGGTGCGGGCCAGAAGGGGTCAGTGGGGAAAAAAGGGGAACATTGTAATTCGACAATATAGATAAATTAAAAAAAAATAAACCACCAGTTAAACCAGAAAAGACAACAACAACAACAAACCCCCCATGAAACCTATGAGACCTGACATTATAGATTTAACCAAGAGGGCTTGATTTGGATTAAGCAAGTTTATTCATTGATCTAGTGATCATATATATATTATTTATAAAAAATATATGTTTTTTAACCAAATGATTGTAATAGTGCCTATATTAGGGCCAGAGGCGTTCATTATCTTGACGACCAAATGAGAAATGGCGGAAAGGTTTGAGATGTAAGAGGCTCTGTGGCTGCATTGAGAGGGCTGATAAAGAAATTCGAAAAGAAGGTGTTGGCATACGTCCTCTCTGCTTTCCAATTTCCAACAACAGACGGTGACATCACAGTTCCAGACATTTCCCATCTATTACTTGGACTAAACAGAGCTTTTTATTCTCCAGGGAAAACGGGCAGCGTGAACTAAAAAGAGGTGCATTTTGCTGATAAGCCGTCGGGTCCATACTCAGGCGGCACAGCATGGTCAGAACGCCATCCTGGGAACCACTCCGCTCCCCTGGGAGCACAGGCACCAGGACCAGAGGACGCTGGGAAGCTGGTTGGGTACTGTTATAGTAATAAGTTTAGTTAGTATAAGATAGCATAATCAAATTTCATTTCTTTATTAGAGTGAATTTTAAACTTTACTTAGAAGAGGAACTTAATTTGTGTGTGTGTGTGAGACCCTGATAAGTAACTTGTAACGCCCTGCCTGTTAACTCCTGACAAATAACTTGTAACTCCTGATCAACAACTCCCTGCATGTTAACTCCTGATAAGTACCTTGTAACCCCCTGCGTGTGCATCCTGATGAGCCCAGAAGGCCACCGGAGCACACTGATATGAGACACTGAAGAAGCCTGTTATAGTAATAAGTTTAGTTAGCATAAGTAGGCTCCATTTTTGTATTAGCACAAGTTAGCATAAGTAGACCCCATTTTATTCTTAGGCCAAAACTTGTAAACAACTCCAAAATAAGATGCGTGTGTGTGACTGATAAGCTTTGGACATGTACACAACTTCCCCGCCTGAGTGTATCCCTAGATAACAGGGCGGCACCCGTGTATGGCACCCGATAGGAGACACTGAAGACGCCCAGCTTCAAGGATTTAAGGAGAGCAAATCTGCTGCGGTTCAGACGCCTGTCTGCTCCTCCACAGCCAGACGTTCTCCTCCCCCCTGGAAACTGCCAAACGGCCATTCCTGCTCTGCCTTTGAGCCCAGACTGTTAAGAGGCCTCTCTTCGAGTCAAGAGACCGAGCTCCTTGCCGCGGCGTATTGGACGACCTCCGTGTCTCTGTCAGCGAGTGTCTCCGGGTGGCCTGCCAAGGACTGAAACCCATCAGCTCTCTGGTAATTAAACCTGTGTGATTTCTTGCATTGTTTGTTCCCTGTGTCTTCTCTCTTCTTAGTTTTTGGTTAAGCTCGGCCATATTAATTAATAGTAAGTACCCTTTGACGTCTGTATTGGTATATCCGAATGAGGCGCTTGGGTCACCTGTGCGTAAGTTCCCAAGAAGTGGAACAGGTACCAGAGGATGTGTCCTGTGGGTGCTGGTGAAGATAGACTGAGGGGAGCAGGCCGTGAAACAGGGCTGGCCCCAGAAAGGTCATTTGAAGGAGAATTCACGGAGAAATGGCGTTCTCCTCCGTCCTTAAGTAGAAAGCCAGCCAGTGCTGGCAGCCCCGCAGCCCGGGCTCCTTTCCAGGCTGCAGCACCCCTACAGGCAGCTGAGCAACGTGACCCTGGCAGCAGAGAAGCCCTGGACAGGCCTGACCACCACCTCACTGAGGAGAAGTGGCCCTGACCTTGGAGACACGCTTCTTGCCTTGACTCTAAGGCCTCCTTTGTTCTCGCCACTCGGGTCTACCACAGCCGACTTCCTCTCCCCTGCCTGCTGCCGTATTTTGCTCAGGGGACCCTGAGCCACGAAGCCGGTGGGAGGTGGGGAGGAGAGCGGCGGGGGACATCGTTTTACACACGGGACACAGGCTCCGCACAACTAGCTGTGTGATGTTAGGCACGTCGCCTAACTTCTCTGTGCCTCGGTTGCCACTGCTGTACAGTGGGATTCTAATCATATTCACCTGACAGGGCTGTTACCGAGCCCTCGGATCCTGCTGCAAAGCCCTGGAGAACAGTGGCCGGCTGGTAGTCAGAGCGTCACAGAGGCAAGCTACTGCCGCCCCCAGTAACAGGCGAGCAGTTTCTTCTGTTGCACTTTCTCCCCGGATTTCCACTTCACCCACACACACATTGGCCTCTCCCAACACGGGACAGAGATGATAAGCAAGGGAACTGTCTCCCATGGTCTCACCGTCCTTCAGTTCTGTCAGTAGTTCTTGGCCTATCGAAGATACCTGTGTGCCCACGTGTGTGTGTGTGTGTGTGTGTGTAGATTCTCTTAATCATACAAAGTCTATGCGGATGTGATTCAGTGTTAATCTAATGGTGAAAGGCTAAGTCACATTTGTTCAACTGTTAGTGCGCAGGCTTCAGGAACATGTGGATAAAATGTAACTAACGTTATCTTGGTTCAAATTCCTTTTTTGCGCCCGACCGACTGTTGTCTCATTGAACTTTGCAGGGCGTTTGTTTTTTTTCCTAGTTACAGCATCCAGATCTTCTCGCACGGCGACAGAGTGATGCCAAATTAGGTCTGTGGAGGCCTCCTTTTGGCTTCTCCGGTCACCGTGCAGAACATATTTTCATGCACGTTGAAGACGGCCCATTAGTTCTTGGCAAGGAGATAAGTTTTCAGAGCTGCTCTCCCTCTCGCAGGCCTCCCCGTTCTCATACACAAAACCTCGCTGAGGGGAGAGGCTGTCCCGCTGATAGGACAGGGCGAACTCCAACTGCGCTCGCCCTGTGACAGCCAGGCAACCGTGACCTCCGTGACGTCTGATCCGATCAATCATCGAGTTCCCAGTGCACTGCCCGGATTAAAATCTCTCCCTCCCTTTCAGGGAGAAGCATTTTTGTTTCAAAATCACACAGTCGGAGCTTTGGAAATTAATTTTCAAACGTCTTTGCCTCTGGAGAAGGCATGCCCGTTCACATCTGAAATTTTCCCTCGACGCCTTAGGTGATGTGTCGACGGAGCTTCTGAGCTTCCACGGTGCAGCTGGAAAGGAGACAAAGAAAGTCTTGCCCCTATCTGTTTCCGTGGAAATGTAAGCCATCCTAACGTGGGTTGAGCCAGGATTCTCTTTAGACCGGTTCCTGGGAGGAAAATCCAGTCAACGTCTGTTATTGTACCAAATCGCCACTGGGTGTGGACTCCCTGACCTAAATGTGCTCTGAGCAAAGCGTCTTTCAAGTAAGGGGCGGTGAGCACTATCGTGAAAGGGGCTGAGGTGCTAAGGATCAGTATTTACTGGCAACCAGCATTTTGGAGCATGGTTACCATGGTAACATTGTCAGCCCCAAATGACTGTCATGAGGTGGAAAAGTCCCCTTAAAATAAATGCAAGCAGAAAAGGGGACATTTATAAACCTTTTACCAAACACCTATCTGTTCATAAAGTAGCATGTGTTTGTTCTTTGGGCTATAGATATTCAAAGATTTGGGGAAATTTCATGACATAAACATTTCCTTAAAAGAACTGTTATTCTCATCTCTCAAAATATGTAAAAATAACTAATTCAGATTTTTTTAAAGGACAGAGTTCTAAGGCATCATGGACTTGTACATTTAGATATTATGCAGTTGTGACATAAACTCTGCACCAAATTACCAATGGCTTATTTGAAAGTTGTAGAAAGGTACTTGACCGGGAGTCTTTATGTCTAAGTTGTACAAATTATTTCTGGCAGGTTCAATAAATACGGTGTCATAGAATGTGTTATGCAGTGAGGGGAAGACATTGGGCACACTGAGGAAGACACTCGGGCACAGCTTTTGCTGAGCTCCATCCCTCACTTGCCTTCCCTCACTAACAGGACCACAATTTTATTAGAGCAGCAATGTGCTCAGCCTCCCTTGCAGTTAGAGGTGGCCACATGCTATAGCTCTGGCCAGTGATATACAGGCAGAAGTTCCTGGAGAGGGTGTAGTTGGGAAACAATTCTCCATGGTCTCTCATATTTCTGTTTATCTTGCAAGCAGGGGCACTGATTATCTTTTGTTCTTCCCAAGGATGTTTGAATGGCATGCAACCTTGGAAGACAGAGCTACTGCCTCTCCAAAGCCATGGGGAGGCTTGCTTAAAATCACTTGGAAGACAGATATGGCATCACTCCAGGGCAAAAGGCAGGCCTACCTACTGGCCATTTTGTAAGATTCCATCTTGCCTCTCCCGTAAGACATTCCTGAGGCCTCTCTGTATAGCCCCCTTGGGTCTTCAGGGCAAGGAGAATGGCTACAAATATGCTGGTGCTCACGCTACTTGCTGTGTTGAGAGTAATAAAGTCCATTATCTCTGACCCAGGCGTCTCTCGACTTCTGCCAGCATCCACGAAACCAGGGCAGGCTAACTTTTAGCGTGTGAATAGGGTGAAACTTCAGACTCTCCATAGTTCTTGACAGGATATTCCTTTCAGAATAAAAGAGGGAGGTAGGAGAAAGCTCTTGCCTCTTGGCCTTTCTCCTTTCTTCTTACCTTGAGATACAGCAACCAATTTGGGGCCATCAGGTGACAGCGTGAGGACAACAGTCTACATCTAAAGGTGGGATGGCAGAACAGAAAGATGAAGGACCTGGGCTCCTGGTAGAGAGAGTCACTGTCCTCGCCCTGGGCTGCATAATTAATTTCAGGCTTCTGCTTATATGAGACACATGAACTTCTAATTGTTTACATCAATGTTAATTGTGTTTGTTTGTTTTTTTCAGACAAATGCATCCTTAGAGTTTGCATCAACCATAGTAACACAGTAATTACATAATAGTAATTGTGTCAAATATATGCAAACTTATGGCTAGTGTGTTGCTACCTTCCTTCTTGATTCTGATTCTACCTTTCTGTATGTTAACATTATTATATGTATCTCCTATAAACTAACTCAAATCCTTTTGGGAAAGATGTGCAAAAAATCAATTCAATAAATATAATTTGGTCCCAGGCCAAATGTATCCCTGAACTTCCGTGAGTTATCTCTTAAGTTACTAGTCAAAAAGGAAAAACAATAGGACTAACCTTTTGCAAACTCATACCTGGTGTCATGAGGCCTGTTTACTCACCAATGTTATCTAGCCCCTTGCAGAATGGCTGCCTGGTAGTAGGCCTTCAAATATTTGCTGACCAAGTGCTCATGAAAGGTGTCTCTTTATCAAATGTGTTGGTTATGCCCAAAGAATATTCACATTTAACAGAGAGCATTTAAGTACATTACGCCTGTCATTTGACCACAATAAGTGTTTTAAGGGGAAAAAAAAAACGAAAAAACACAACACAGCTCAACTTCAAAGAAACGATTTCTTATCTTTGTTCCCAAGGGCTACAAAATGCCACATAACTTAACAATGGAATCAAAAGAATCTACGCAACCTCAAAGGCTGGTTCAATAGGATACCAGAAGTAATAGCAATTGTCATCAGAGATGAAAACATCTTTGAATGTCATGTCCAAAAATTATTTTTAGAACATTGGATAAGATTTGAAACTTGTATGAAGAAGAAATATTAACTAATACACAAGATGAGACCGTAGGAGGGCAATGTATAATTTTACACCAATAATAGGATAAATGAAATTATACTGTGCACAAGAAGATGAGTTACAAACATCCTTAGTATTATTTTTCAGTACATTATGATTCTTAGTTTCTGTTCAAAAACCTAAGCTATGTGAAATTGCCTATAATATGTGTCCTCAGTATGATTTCTGCTTAAACATCTATCCAAACCACACGGAGATTCCATTTCACACCCATAGGACGGCTATTATTCTTAAAAAGGAAAGAGCAAACGTGGAGAAATTGGTACCCTCGTGGGCTCCTGGTGGGAATGGGAAATGGTGCAGCCGCTAGAGAAAACAGTCTGTGGATCCTCAGCAGTTAAACATAAAATCAACATACGATTCAGCAATGCCACTCCTTGGTAGATACTCAAAAGAATTAAAAATGGATACTTGTACGCCAGCATTGATAGCATTGTTCACAACAGCTAAAGGTAGGAACAACCCACTGTTCGTCAGCTTACGAAGGGATAAACAAAATGTAGTATATTCTATGATATACCACAGACTATTTAACAGCTGAATTAGAAATCTCTACCTACATTATGAGAAACAAGAAGAAGTAAAATAAGCAGATGATAGGAGTGGGAGGAATCCGAAAATATTATTTTCACAAACAAATTCTGGCCCAACATATGCCTGAGCAGTGGGGTGGGGAGTTCCAGTGATACACACGCCTGAGAATTGAAGAATTGGAATAAGATATATTATATGGACAATGAACTATTAGTCACAAAGAGGAATGAAATTCTGCTATACCTGCTACAACATGGGTAGACCTTGAAAACATTACGCTAAGTGAAATAAGCAGACCCAAAGGGATAAATATTGTAGGATTCCATTAATATGAGGTACCCAGAATAGTCAAATTGGTAGAGACAGAAAGTAGAATGATGGTTACCAGAGACTAAGGCGGGTGGGGTGGGATGGGAAGTCATTGCTTACTGGGTGTACAGTTTCTGTTTAGGATGATGAAAAAGTTCTGGAAATAGATTAATAGTACAGTTGCACAACATTGTGAATGTAATTAGTGGCCACTGAATTTTACATTTAAACATGGTTAAAACGGTAATTTTTATGTTATATATATATTTTGGCACAATTTTTAAAAATTTATTGACTAATTGATTTTAGAGAGCGAGAGAGAGTAAGAGAGAGAAAGAAAGAGAAAGAGAGAGAGGGAGAGACATCGATTTGTTGTTCCACTTATTTATGCATTCATTGGTTGATTCTTGTATGTGCCCTGAGCAGGGATCAAACCCAAAACCTTGGTGTATCAGGACAATGCTCTAACCCACTGAGCTGCCCAACCAGGGCTTTCATTAATTAGTTAATTGCCACAATTTAAAAAACAAAACAAAAAACCTCTGAAATAAGTGAAACCAAAATGGCGAGTTTTGTTTGTTTGTTATGGGAAGAGCAAATAGAGCAGATTTTACATTTTTGTACGTGGGCTTCGTTTCCTCTTGCCCTTGCTTCCTTTACGCCCCGCCTGCCTGCGCTATGAAGCAGGGTGGCTAAGATGACCCCATGACATTGCCAAGCCATTCAGGTTGTGGCTTTGAGTGGTCATGTGCCTCGGGAGGTCCGACATCATTTGGAAAGATTTCTGGTTCAGCAATTTTATTCCGTGTATCATTGGAGCTCCGCCCCCACCTCCACCCCCAGGCATATGCTGGGCCAGAATTGTTTGTGAAAATATTATTTTAGGATTCCTTCCACTCTTATCATCTACTTATTTTCCTTCCTGCATCTTTCATAATGTAGACAGAAATTTCTGATTCAGCAGTTAAAATAGTCTGCGCATTAGTTATCACTTCCTTGTGACCCAGTTTGCACACAATTTCTCATTCTGGCATTGAAAGCTCGGGTTTCAAAAAAATTCCTACAACTAAAGTATGTGTCTGCGGGAAAACGGAGGGGAAGAGGTACTGACTGAATTTCTCTGGGTAGCACTTAAAGGATCTCAACAGTGGGCATCCCTGACTTCCCTTTTCATTTACTCTCCCACCAAAGCTCTCAGATTACACTCTCCTTCGTTACTCCACTCCCATAAGCCCGCCTTTTCCACCTCCCCTCTCTTGTTTCCTTCCTAAGGACTGCATCTCTGCTTTGAATTCACCAGACACTTGGGTCTGCTATGGAACACAAAGGGCAATGAGCAGAGGCGTGCGGGCCAGGCCGTTTCTCTCCCACCTGAGTGTGCTACCAGCACCCCGAAATGTCTGTGAATGCAGGTTCCTGGGCCCCGCCACCAGAGGAGCTGATTCGGGCGGTCTGTACCTTTAACCGCTCCCTGGAGGATTCTGAGTGGGATCCTAAGAATACGTTCTGAGGAGCACTGTGATGAGTGAGAAGGCGACAGGACATACTGAGTTATACTGAGGTCACTCCAAAGCACCAAACGAACAGGGAAAGAAGAGACAAAATTGGTCTGAGAGACTGAGGGAAGGCTTCATGGAAGAGGACCTTTCAAAGAAGAGTTGAAACCACCTGTCTGGCACTGTCACCTGCTGCCACCCAGCCCCGAAGGTGAGGGCCAGACTTGGGGCCACATTCCCCCCACACAGTGCCTTTGGAGCAGTTGGGGAGGACGAAAGACTCTGGGACAAGGAGGTCCACTCATTTCTGAGAGGATCCAGGTAGATGATGCCTTTTCCTGGGGTACCCTCCCCTACACTGAGCCCCAGCTCCAGACCAGCCTGCTAGCAGAGAGCCCTGGGCAAGGTCCTCCACTTTCCCAGCCTCAGGCGAGGGATGGTGTTATCTGCTTTGTAGGCTCAGTGTAAGAATTAAATGACATTCAGTACATGGTAGCTTATATTATTTTCATTATTCTAGAGTTTTCTTTTTTAGTTTTTCATTTATTGATTTAAGAGAGAGAACATTGATTTTGTTGTTCCATTTATGGATATATTCATTGGTTGATTCTTGTATGTGCCCTGACTAGAGATCAACACCCCACCCCACCCCACCCCCGCACCTTGACGTAGGGAAACACTCTAACAACCGTGCTACCAGGGCTAGATTCTTCTCGGGGATGAATTCCTAGAAGTGGGGTCACCGAGACCGGGAGTGTGTTACTAAATGGCACACATAGAAACTGTGTATGCAATTTTTGAGTTTTATGAAAGTGTCTCAATATGAGTTCTAGAAGTAAAGATAGTTATGCATATCTATACAGATATTAGTAGTGGTCATCTCCGGATGGAAGGGACAAAGGATGTTCTCTCTGTTCCTTTTGTTGCATTGATCCACTTATTTCCTCCTCCTCCTCCTTTCTCTCCTCCTTCTTCTTGTCTCTTCCTCCCATCAGTGCTCGCCTGCCACACACACACACACACACACACACACACACACACACACACCAGCTTTTTCAATGCCTGGAGACCCCTGTAAATGAACACTTCTTCCCTATAAGAGACACCTATTAAAAAGCAAACATGTTTCCTGGGAAAGTACCACATTCAACTCTCGGACCTCACCCTTTGCCCATGTCATTGACACAATTAGCTGGCCCAAAAGAAGGGCTGGAGGAAAGATCGAACAGGACTACCATCCCAGAAGGGCAAGCCCAGAATCGGAATGAAACGGACATCACAGAAACATCAGGTGCTTAAGATAAGGAGACCAAAACCCAAAGCAGCAGGCAGGATCCTGAGGGGTTCAAAGTCCAGAGGCAGAGGGTGAAGCGATGGCCCCTGCTACCTCCTGCACAGTCCTAGGATTGGCTGAAAGGAAAATCATGAGCCTATTTGCACATACCTATTCTTATTGGCAGATATTGTAGATAAGAGGGTTACAGTTTATACAAGTGAGTTCCAAAGTGCTGGTAAGCAATTCTCGACCTCAGAGTAGATGCTGTAACATTTTGGAATGATTCATTCAAATGTTTTTTATATGACAACTTTCCTTTCTTGATTATCTTATTTCACAACTGTATTATTTTTGACTACAGCCTTGGTTTTAGGAAACCAGAACCCTCTAACATTCCCACCAATCGATTTTATGCCATAACTGAAATCTACTTTTTTTTTTTTTTTTTTTGAGAAATGCTTTAAGAGATTGATATTTCTGAAATGCAACTTTGTAGTTTTGGCCCTTCCCAAATAGTTCCAATTTCCATGTGGAACAAAAACAATCTTTTTCCTAGAGCTCAAAGCAGTCCCTGCCCAACTCAGAATCCAAATGTTAAGAAACAAAGAGATTTCCAGGGTCTTGGCAGAAGAGAGGATGCCCAGGTTGTCAACAGGAACAAACAAAGGCCGACATTGTCTTGCATTTATTATAACAAGACGGGGGGGGGGGGGGGAGGGGGGGTGGGAAACAGGGGGCAGATGGGAGGCTGAACGAAGGGACCAGCCAGGCTGTCATTCTCTTACACACATTTCCTCCAGTCTTGCCATCAACCAAAACTGTTCAGTCAGCTTCTGCGCGTTGCTGCTATTGCCAATAAACCCATTTTGAAGGAAATGATGTTATATTCCTTCTTTAAAAGAGGAAGAGGTCAAGGGGAGAGAATTACCAACCGACTGTCAGCAACTCGGGCCTATGAGGTTTCCTCAGAGCCCAGTCTTTAGAAATGCGAGTTGAAGGCTCCATGGCTACAAAGATCCTAAAGGCT